TTAGCTCAAGGGGAATAAGGTGAAGACACGACCTTCTGAGTTAAATCTCAGCCTCCCTAACCAGACGTACAGTTGACACAGCAACTGGAACTGGTCCAACAAATCCTGTGTCTTCAACAAGCAACTGGTTCTATCCCTTCCCATCCTTACTTTAGTTTGTCTTCGTGAAGTCATTGCCTATCTGTGTATCTATTTGACTTCATTGCTTGACTACTATTGTTGATTGGCTTCATACCATCTTCCATCCTGATCCTTACTACCTAGCTGCTATTAGTCCCGTACTTTCATATCCTTGTATCCTTGACTATGGCTTGCTTTGGGTAGTTTACCTTCCGCTGCATTATAATTAGGTCATTTCTGTTGTTTGTCTTCGAAACTTCCAAGTTTTGAAGACTTTCATAAAAATCGCCTATTCACCCCCCCCCTCTAGTCGATACTAGCACTTTCAAGAATCATGATGAGGTAGTAACCACTTTGATGGTTTGCCACCGTACTTCCTCGTTGATACTTGCATTGTGCATGACCCTACCTTCTTATGAGGGTTATGCCGGTGGGAGTAGATAGGATGCTAAAGTAGATGCTACGCAAAAAGGGACGGGTTTATGCATGGTGAAGGAGACAAAGCATTTTCAAAAGACTTTTCGAAAACCTCGTCGGGTGCCACTTATGCCCGAGGGAGATGATGAGATGGGTAACCACTTGATGACGAAGTGGTGTACCGAGGCAAGTGTGTGTGTTGTTTTCGAAAATGGATTAGATTTAAGATTTGATGACTGTCCCAACCTTACACGCGCGACCACTCTACCCTTATATGGGAAAGGGCATTATTGATTACCTAGGTCGATACTAGCTTTGAGCCCGCATTACTAGTGACGGGGGAGAGTTGGTGCTCTCTCTCGGGACGGGGTCGTGCCAGGTAGGGTGGCCATGACTATTTTCACAGGGCACCGGATACACCGTTGTGTCCCCTCTCGGATGTTACGATCTCGAGTGAGTCTCGCATGATGTACATCGTGAGGATACGGAACAATGAGTGGACTCCTTCTTAGTGTCGTCTAGGGAAAGGTAGTGATCGGGTGCTTACCCCGGGTACTTGAGGTATCGCGAGTCGTGGATGACACGGAAGTTCCCCGGATCTTGTGGGTAAAGTGTGCAACCTCTGCAGAGTGTAAAACTATTCAAAGCCGCGTCCACGGTCAAGGACAGTTGGGCGGTGCTGCTTAAACTATGTCCAGAGTTTTGCAACCGTGTGTGTGAGCTGATAAAACTACTTGGGTCAAGTCAAAGGACTTGACATGATTGAGTTGGGTTGGTGCCCACTCTATTTATGTTGGTATCTGTAACCTGTCCTCATGGTTACTTGAATTCTCCTGATGCATGTCTTACAATTTGTTGAACATGTCATTGCACTCAAAACTAGCTTTCTGCAAAAATTTACCTATATCATGCATTGTTACATCTTGCACCAAAACATGGGTTGCTTGCGAGTACATTCAAAGTACTCATTGGCTTGCCACTGGTTATTTAATTGGCCAGGCATGAAAGAAGCGGAGTTCGAAGAAGAGTTCTTTGGAGACGAGCATGCGAACTAGGACGTTTCCCAGTCAGAATGCCTGTAGGGTTAAGGCAGATGGCATGGGCTCTACTTATCGACGAAGATTTCCGCTGCTTGTGTTTAAGGCTTTATCAATGTAAGACTTGACCATAATGGTCATAATTTGTGTAAGACGGTATGTATGGATGTAAGACTCTTGTTATTCAGTTTTTGTGTGTTCAGTGAGCATTGATCTCTGGGATCACTGTACACGTGCATTCGGTGATTACGACTTATGAGTCAGGGTCCCCACACCATGGCCCCTGCAGCAACTGTCACCAGCATTGGCGAAGCTAGGCAACAATCTAAACTCAGCAGTCCCCAAATAATTTTCTTCATGTTTTTAATCAAAGCTGGGGGGCCATGGCCCCTGCAGCAACGTACATAGCTCCGCCATTGGTCATCAGCACCATCCTCGTCACACCGGTGGTCGCCGCCCTTGTCCTTGGAGCTCGCCGGCACTGCGATGACGACTTGCAGCGGCTACCGTACGCGTGCTTGATCTGGAAGCATAGGGGAAAAAAGGGGTTGCAGCGCCACGCCCCTGGCCTTGCAGCATGTCGTCCGAGGCTCGTCGAAGTTACAATGCCGCTTACAGCTCCCTGGTCTTGCAATACACCATCCAGAGTTTGCAACATCGGCTTAGAGGAAACAGGGAGAGAACGAGAGAGACGGGGAGAAAGAGGAGAGAAGACGATGCGGGGATGCTGCCTGGAGACACATGTGGGGACAGATGGGACGCATCAGCCGGTTGAGATTAAGCGTTTTCCAACTTATATACTCTCTGTTTCATAATGTAGTACGTATAGATTTTTTAAAAAGTTAAATTTTGACTAAGTTTATAGAGAAAACTATTTGTATCTACAATATCAAATTAATAAAATATGAAACTACATCTTATGACGAAATCCAACTTTATATGTTTGGCATTCGAGACGTAAATGTTTTCTTCCATGAAACTTGGTCAATTTTTTTGAGATTTGACTTTCCATGAAACTATGCTATGGAATGGAGGGAGTACACCGTATAATTTGAGGAGGGAATACATAACTTATTTGGAATGATCATCTGTATTTAATTTGGTAGTTGTTGTCATTAAGGATCCCAACCTCCATAGATAAGACACCTCCTCTTCACGCTAGTACTACAGTTGGCCATTGATGATGGCAGTCTGTTCTTAGCTATACGCTATCCGCTCTCTTCTAGATCCACTCCATGGCGATCTGGGCGACCACTAACAAAACAAAGTTCCATCGATTGTGTTAAGGTACGGCGTCCATTCTTAATTGGTATGTTTGGTTCAACCGTCGCACCATGCTCATCTCTATGCCTTCACCACATTTGTTAAGGCTTCACTCTGGTTCTTTCCTGAGAGATTACAAATTTTGATTTTAAACACTTCATTCTTAAAGTCGATTCCAGCCTCATTTCTTCATGCTCAAATCATTGTTTCATTTTACCTGTAAGCAAGCAATTACGTAGAGTTTCCCAGATCGTACCATGGAGCTGTTATTCAAAATCTGCAGGAGTGAACAATAAATATTAATTATACTCTCCTCCGCTGTACTTCCATGAACAAACACAAATGATTCTCTGCAGTAAATAGCAATCTTGATTGGTTATCTCAGGCAGCTAGAGGAGATGTTTCTTTTCTGAATGAACTCCAATGGTCATCTGAAATCCCTACAAATTCATTGATAATTAATCTAATGAAATTAAGCACCCTTACTTTGTTTATTAGGTTCTGCATTTATATGTTGGATTAAAGTTGACGTTTAGCACTACGAAAACTGTTTTCCAGGTCATTACCTTTTAACGTTGAATAAGCTCCCTGCTACTTCCAAAGATGGATCATCCGAAAAATATAGTAACACAACTTATCCAGGAAGAGCACAGATCAAAATGGATAGCAAGAAGCAATCATAATGTGAAATGTTTTACAGAAGATGAGATAAAAAGATTTACCAACAACTATAAGACTTTACTCGGTAGAGGTAGCTTTGGAGAAGTTTATGAAGGGGTCCTTGAAGTCAAAAGAATGGTTGCAGTCAAGAAGTATATCTGCAATGTTAAAGAAAATTTTGCCAAAGAGTTGACCGTCCACCGTGAGATCAATCACAAGAATGTAGTCAGATTAGTCGGCTACTGTGTAGATGAAAATGCCCTAATGGTGGTCATGGAGTATATTCCTAAAGGAAATCTGAGTGACATCCTTCATCGGGATAGTATTCCCATTGCTTTGGATACACGGCTAAGAATTGCCATTGAATGTGCAGAAGCGTTGGGCTATATGCATTCACAAATGTATACTCAGGTCATTCATGGTGATATCAAGCCTGCTAATATACTTCTGGATGATGGACTCAGAGCAAAAATATCAGACTTTGGTATATCAAGACTAGTCAACACTGAAAATACTCTATATACTCTAAATGTGATGGGAAGTATAGGCTACATGGACCCTCTGTTTGCTCAGAATGGTCGCCTCACAGCAAAGAGTGATGTTTATATAGTTTTGGAGTTGTGCTTCTGGAACTGATAACGAGAAAAAAAGCAAGAACAGAGGATGGGGAGATTGGCTTGGTTGAAAGTTTTATTCAGTCTCCCCCAAAAGGATTTAGGAGGGTGAGGGAGATGTTTGATCCTGAAATTGCAACATCAAGCGACATGAAGACTATCGATGAGATTGCTAAGTTGGCTGGTAAATGCTTGAAGATGGAACTCAACAAACGTCCTGAGATGTTAGAAGTTGCAGAACGTCTTCGCAAACTTAGAAAGGCTCCACAGAAGGTACAAGAAAGACAAGCTCTGTTTTCTTGGGCAAGGAAAAATAAACTAGCTCCAGCCAAAACACCATCTCTGGAAAGCAGTAGCAGTAGCCAAAACGTGAGAACTGTAGCTCCAGCTGAAAAGACGCCATCACAAGCAAGCAGTGACAGTACCCCCAAATCAGAAATTGTGGCTCCAGCCAAAGCAGCACTATCACAGGATAGCAGAAATCAGGATGGTTTTATTGTTAGGTTGACAGTGACAGGCCTATTGTTCGAGGTGGAGGACCTGCTTAGGGCATCGGCTGAACTTCTGGGCAAGGGTACAGTCGGGACAACATACAAAGCGACAATTGAAAGTGGATATGAGATAGTGACCAAGAGGCTCAAGAACGTGCAATTGCCGAATGAAGAGTTTGAGCAGCATGTCATGATGATTAGCGCCATCCAGAACAAACACATTGTGCCACTGCAGTGGTATTACTGTAGAACGGATGAGAGGTTGCTAGTGTATGAATTCATCCCCATGGGTAGCCTAGCAAAAGTGCTCCACGGTAATGTTACAGTACTATCAAGTGCTTGCCTTCACAATTTCTAATGTTTTTGATGCATCACTGATTCATGATGTGTTAATCTAGGTGACAGAGGCTTCGGCCCGTCTCCGCTGGACTGGGAGCAGCGGTCAGCCATCTCACTTGCTGCTGCGCGTGGTGTGGAGTATATCCATTTAGCTGGACCATCAAGCTGTCATGGCAACATCAAGTCTTCCAACATCCTGCTCACCGGCACCCACGATGCATGTGTGTCGGAGCATGGCCTCATAGCACTTGGCAGGTCTTCTAGTGTCTCCGGCTACCGCGCGCCTGAGCTCATCAACAATAGGCGGGTCTCTCAGAAAGCCGACGTGTACAGCTTCGGCATCCTACTACTGGAGCTTCTCACCCGCAAGGCTCCAACAAATAGCAGAAAGGATCAGGAGGGAGTTGATTTGCCACAGTGGGTGTGTTCCGTTGTACGCGAGGAGTGGACGGCAGAGGTGTTCGATGTGGAGCTCATCGGGCGAGATCAGAAGGATGGGGAAGAGGAGTGCATGGTGCGACTTCTGCAGCTGGCCATAAAGTGTTGCAGTCAAGATGCCAACTCGCGGCCTACAATGCCTAAAGTTGTGCAACAGATCGAAGAGATCGGAAGAGAAAGTAAACTAGCTCCAGCCAAAACACCATCTCTGGAAAGCAGTAGCAGTAGCCAAAACGTGAGAATTGTAGCTCCAGCTGAAAAGACGCCATCACAAGAAAGGAGTGGCAGTACCCCAAAAACAGGAATTGTGGCTCCAGCCAAAGCGCTATCGCATTTAAGCATGTCTTCACAAGAAAGCAGTGGCAGTACCCCCAAAACAGGAATTGTGGCTCCAGCCAAAGCGCTATCGCATTTAAGTATACAAAATGTGGGAACTTCTATCATTGGGTCGGCAATGACATGCCAATTGTTCGACCTGAAAGACCTGATTGGGGCATCGACTGAAGTTCTGGGCAAGGGTACAGTCGGGACAACATACAGAGCAACACTTGATAGTGGATATGAGCTGGTGGTCAAGAGGTTGAAAGATGTGGACTTGGGGGAGGCGATCTTTGGGCGGCTTGTCATGCTGTTTGGCACCATCCAGAACAAACACGTAGCGCCACAGCTGTGGTATTACTGCAGCAAGGATGAGAAGCTGCTCGTATATAATATCATCCCCATGGGTAGCCTAGCAAAAGCACTCCACGGTAATGTATATAGCGTACAATGCTATAATATGCTTGCCTATACAATTTCTAATGTTTCTGAGGCATCACTAATTCATGATATGTGAATCTAGGTGACCGATTTTCTGGCCCAGCTCCATTGGACTGGGAGCAGCGGTCAGCAATCTCACTTGCTGCTGCGCGCGGTGTGGCGGCTATCCACTTAGCTGGACCAACGAGCTGCCATGGCAACATCAAGTCTTCCAACATCCTGCTCACCGGTACCCACGACGCATGTGTGTCGGAGCATGGCCTGATAACACTTGGCATGTATTCCAATGCCCCCGGCTACCGTGCACCTGAGGTCACCCGCAATAGGTGGGTCTCCCAGGAATCTAACGTGTACAGCTTCGGCATCCTACTGCTGGAGCTTCTCACCCGCAAGTCTCCACTGGAGAAGAGATTTCAGGATAACGGGGGAGTAGATTTGCCACGATGGGTGTGTTCCATTACACCTGAGGAGTGGAGAGCAGAGGTATTCGACGTGGAGCTCCTAGCACGGGGGCAGAAGGACGGGAAAGAGGAGTGCATGGTGCGACTTATGCAGCTCGGGCTAAAGTGTTGCAGTCAAGATGCTGATTCGAGGCCTACAATGTCTGATGTCGTGCAGCGGATTGAGGAGATCGGACAGTCCTAATTGCTGACAAAGAACCTCACACATCATAGTGAGTGAAAGTTGCTGGGTCACAGTTGCATTCAAATGTCATATATTTTTCAGTACCTCTCAACTGGTTATCCCAAAGAACGATAAATAAATTTTGACGATAAATTTATCTCAGAGAACTACTATCCTGAAAAAGACTTCCACTGCAAGTTTGTAAATTGTAATCGATCACATGTCCTACATGTTATTGGCATATATACCCTGCACTTTTCCGAATAAAAATAAAAATTGGCATATATACTCTACACTTTTCCAAATTAAACGTTGGGTTCATGATTCTACCAGCTAAGCTGCAATGCTTGGATATATGTGAAGACTAAAAATCTGCTTCCCATTCTTTACAAATTATGACCAAAGAAGAAAAACTAATGAAAAGATGCAATCATGTTTGCTTCCCATTCTTCATCGTGTCCAATTACATTAATAAGCGCCGATTTTTTTCATTCATTCAACATAAATAAAGCATAAATTCTACAGATTAGGGATGAACATAACACACCAAGCCAAGAATTACAGTGTTCAGTACCTTGCTCGAGCAGGAGCAGCGTCAACCGACCACCTCTCCGAACGAAGTCCACGCACGCTTTCCCAGTACTCTCGCTTACGCCTCCGTGCCTCGTGTAGCAGCTCCACCGGCGCTGGAGTGGAAGAGCTTGCCAGGCGCTGCCACGCTGGAGCAGACGGTGCACTACAGGGGCTGGGGAGGGAGTCAGAGAGACGACGCATCGGCGCCAGTCGCTGGAGGTGCAGGGGGAGCTTGCTGGCAAGCTGGGCGCGGCAGCTCCGGAGTGGAGCCGGGAGCAGTCGGGCTCGGAAGGAATTGGGATTCAGGCATTCAGCGGCGGCGGCGGCGGCGGCTTCGAGCTCGAGTGGGCTGGACGACCTGGACGACGAGAGAGGCAGACGTGGGCAATGGGCTGGAATGTCTGGGCTTATAGTCATGAGTGGGCTTTTGCCAACTTTATGATACTGCCTTATCCAACGAGATTCCCACAAAACAAAAGAAAAGAAAAACTCGTCCAACGGAGCTGCAAGTTTGGCCGCTAAACAACGAGATGAGAAAATCATTAAGCCAAGCACAATACTGCACCGCAAAAAAAAATTAAAAAATTACAGGCACTAAACAATGAACTACCGCTGCGTCCCGTCTCACGGTTGAGACGTTTATTAACTGATGAAAAGGCCAAAAGGGCACACACCGAACAAACACAAGAGGCATCGCGCGCCTATGTTGCAGGTTCAGACATTGAACTGAAAAGGCACAAGTGCGTGCATGTGCATATTGAACAAACAAAACAGGGAAGGCAAGGCACACTGATTTTTTTTTCTTCTGCAGTGCCAGCCATGAGGCTACCAAGACCTAGCACTTCTCAGCGACAAAAGGTACATCTTACCGAGCGCCGCTGCATCGCGATCGAGCACGCAGTCACGGAGGAACGACCAAACTGTACAAGGCCATGGTGCTTGCAGCTGCGTCTCGTAATGCATATTGCTATGTTGGTGTGGTGATCTACGTAGTACTCCCTTCGTCCTAAAATAAGTGACTCAATTTTGTATTAAAGTTAGTACAAAGTTGAGTCATTTATTTTGGGACGAGGGAGTAGAAACGTCGTTTGCATGGTCTCGTACAGATTTGAGTAAGGCATATGAGGATGTGTATGTGAAATGCGAGAAATAGGGTATTGCCGGGTTACCCCAGCCGCCGTGCCCGGACACGTCGGGCGTATAGCGGCTCAAATTAGATGATCGAGCATCTACAACTGTGATGGACAAATCACCCCCTCCCCCCCCCTCGCAAACACCTGCGGACGCGTCCGAGGATACTGACCGGTTACGCCTTAAATAATGCAATCTACATCTGGATATCTTATTAGAAACCTCAAATCCATATTATTACATGCAACATAGCGTTCTTTGCGAACGGAGCTGGTCTGGTCGCCGTGGCCATGTCCGGCTGCCGGCTACGCTTCCAGAGTGTTGGTCCGGTCGCCGGCAAGGTAGAGTAGGGTAAAGGACATGAGCCGGCTCACGGGACTCAAGGCCGCCGTCTCCCATGCCCTACTCTTCCTCATCGGAGCCCGGAACCCGTTGGGTGCCAGTGAACTTCAAATCGATGATGGATCTGTCGTGGGACGAGCCGGCGACATCCACCACGACGCGGTTGCAGCGCCCGGAGTGGTGCATCATACATGGCGTCGGAGAATGCGACTGCGCTCGCTGGCGTCCACCGCCTCGAGCGCTGCTGCCGCCTCCCGCCCCTGCTGCCTCACACGGCAGGCACGCCGCGCCATGGTTGCGTCGGACAAGCCTATGGTGTGTCCATGACCTCCGCACGCCAACGGAGGGGTTGCGTGTCCGCCACCGCGTTCGGACGCCATACAGACTGCACCGCCTCCGTGTGAGGCAGCGAAACTGCCCTAGCGCCGGATCCATGATCCATTTGGCCGGACGTGTTCGGACGCCAGATGGACCACACCACCTCCGTGCTAGTAGAAAAAGGGCTTTTAGTCCCGGTCCATAAGGGCCTTTAGTCCCGGTTCCGGAACCGGGACTAAAGGGTCGTTACTAAAGCCTCCCTCTTTAGTCCCGGTTCTTACACGAACCGGGACTAAAGGCCCTCCACGTGGCCGCTGCCTGGAGGTCCACCTTTAGTCCCGGTTGGTAACACCAACCGGTACTAAAGGAAATTTTATGATTTTTTTTGAAAAAAATTTGAATTTTTTTGGAATTTCTTTTTGATTTTTAAATTTCTGAATTATTTTAACCTCTCATCTCTAATCACCCCTCATCACTGCTCAATTTAACCTCTAATCACCCCTCATCATCTAACTTGCCGGACGGTCACCCATCCTCTCACTACTCCAGCCCGAGCACGCTTAACTTCCGGGTTCTATTCTCCCTCGTTTCTGCACTTGTTGTTTTCCTGACAATAGTAAGATGTCAATCCTATTAACCTCAGGAATTTAGCTTGAGCATGAAGTCACACATTTCACTGTTTGAGTTTGAAACTATTGTTCTAAAAACAATAATTATTTAGTAACACTAATATTTCTTGAATAAGTAGTTTGACCACAGTTTGACCATAGTTTGACCACAGTTTTGACCATAGTTTGACCAGATTTGACCAAAATTCAAAAAAACTGAAATAATTATTTAGTAACACTAATATTTCTTGAATAATTATTTAGTAACACTAATGCTTCTTGAATAAGTAGTTTGACCATAGTTTGACCAGATTTAATAAAAATTCAAAAAAAACTGAAATTTGAGCATAACTTTTTTTTTCCTTTTAGAATTTGAGGATTTTAAAAATTTGCAAACAGGTCGTAGGCTGTCAAAATCGGATGCGGATTTTTGTGCTGAACATTATATTATACGTTTTTTTCTGACATCGTATGCAAAAGTTATAGCTGTTTTACATTTTCCCTATACTTTTTGCAAAACATGTCCAAATTTAAGTTTTTAAATTTTTCTAACTAGTACATGTAGTAACATAACTACATCGGGAAGGATTTTAATTTTGAAGTTTTTATCATTTTATTTTGCTTTTTACAAAACTGAAAAGACGATCCAGGGGGTGGGGGTAGAGTTTGAAAATGGGAACTTTAGTACCGATTCGTGCCATGAACCGGTATTAATGCCTCAAACCCCATTAGTACCGGTTGGTGGCTCGAACCGGAACTAAAGGTCTAACCTTTAATACCGGTTGGTGCCACGAACTGATACTAATGGGCATCGCACCCTTTAGTCCCGGTTCGTGGCACCAACCGGGACTAAAAGGTCCAGACGAACCGGGACAAATGGCCCACGTGGCCCGGCCGGCCCCCTGGGTTCATGAACCGGGACCAATGCCCCCATGGGTCCCGGTTCTGGACTGAACCGGGACTAATGGGCTAACCCGGCCTGGACCAAAGCCCTCTTTTCTACTAGTGGTGTGAGGCAGCGACGACCGCCCTAGCGCCGGATCCATGTGCCATTTGGGCGGACGCAATGGATTACCGACGGAAGGAGTTCGAGCGCTCCGTGCATGGGCCTCCTCCCGGGAGCGGCGGAGCGCAAGCCGGACGACCATCTTCTCCTAGAGGCCGCGTGGGATGAGTTTGGGGTCGACGGATCTGAAGGTGAATGACTCAGATCCGATGCCCGTCATGTCGGAGACGGCCGAACAGTGCCAGACATGAGCTTGGATGGCGGATGGGAGTGGAGTGAAGTGGTTAGGGTTTGATCCGACGAGTGGATGGGGACAAATATATGTGGGGTCGGGTGAGCCAGCGTGGGCGGGTCCGACGTGGCGGGCATGTCCGGACGCCATGTATCCGTGCCATATTTGGGCTGGATATAAGGGATGTCGGTCAGCCCAGGCGTTTGAACGTTTGAGACCCGTTTGAGGCGTCCGACTATGTCGAAATTTCGTCACCAGTCAGTAACCGCGCGAGCCGTCCGGACGTTCGATGAGGGTTTAGGATGCCCGGCTGTAGATGCTCCAGTGGCGCGCGTGGGAAAAACAGCAACTTGCTTTTTGCTTGAGAGGAAGCGGGATAATGTGGAAATCGCGCCGCGCATGTGCCGGCTGGGACGACGTCGGCACGGCCTGGAACGAGCTGTCCATATCGGGTACAAAGGTCAACATTGGCTTGAGCAGGCAATGGATGCGTACTGCGCGAGGGGGTGGAGACGCGGAGGAGATAGGAGCCCGGGCGCTCGACTGTGAAACATTAGGGCTCATTTGGTTGCCTCGCTTCCCCCCGGGATCTCAGCGTTTTTCCGGGGTTCGAAACCCACGTGGAGACGCTCGCCAGGGAAAACGAGCGCGTCATTGGACGAGCAGTTCGACGGGGTGGGCTGCCTCAACCCCCGCTCTTTCCCCGGGAAGAGGTCGCACACCTGGACACTCCGGAAAAATTTTCCCGTCTTTTCCGTTGTGCGATCTGAACTCGCTGCTTCGTTCTGAATCCCCCGCTTGTTGCCTTCCG